CTACTATCGACGAATACATTTGGCAACAACGCGCAACATATGCGATGTTGCCGTTCCGGCCGAGACCATGCCGGAACGGCAACATCGCATATTAGAATACAAAGATAGTGATAGAAAGAGAGAGACAGTGGAATCAGCAATATCTACGGATCGTGGCTGGATCAACTAAGTGTGCAAGTTTATATAAATGTATATATATATATATACATTTGTCTTTAATTCAAAGGAAATATAAATAATGAACGCATCACATTTAAAACAGTATAAATAGTTAATAATTTAATAATAAGTTAATAGTTTAATAAGTACGTACGTAATATTATCACATGGTAACAGCACGTATTATGGCAAAAATAAACATCGGCTGATTTGAAAAGATTTATTATAGTAATAATAGTAATCTCAGGACAATTCACACAGCTTCATCTAGACCCAAGTTAAGCTAGCTGAAGATTATGTTATGGGTACTAGACAACTGATATAAATACAAAGATTTTTTTCGTAAATACATATATATTATCTATACATAGAAAACACCCAGACCGTTACAAACAATCATACTCATGAATACAAATGTTTGCAGCGTGCGAGGAATCGAACCCTCGACCACCAAGCAGGAATCAAAGCAGTGTGCTAGCTAAATCGCTAGACTACCGACAACTAGCTGTACCGCGTGGAATTTAACTTCTTATATTTTAGAAAAATAAAGTTAAATTCCACACGGACGAAATCCCGTGTACAGCTAGTCATCAATAAAAAAACACGTAGGTATCTCTAATATATTATACAGTAGCTGTTCCCGCGACTTCGTCCACGTGGTTTTTAACTTTATTTTTCTAAAATAAAAGTAGCCTAAGTTACTAGGTAGTAGCCTTATTACATCAGCTACCTGCCAAAAAAGTCCCGTCAAAATCGGTCCAGCCATTTCAGAGATTAGCCGGAACAAACAGACAGACGGACAAAAATTGTAAAATATGTTATTTTGGTGTATTATGTACCGTATTTATATTCATATGCAAGTAGTAAAAAACGGTTATTTCAATATTACAAACAACAGGCTTCAACATTCTCAAGTACCACAAAAAAGATGTTTTTATTAAAAACAAGCTGTTCCCGCGACTTCGTCCGCGTGGAATTTAACTTTATTTTTCTAAAATAAAAGTAACCTAAGTTACTCCTTATAAATCAGCTACCTGCCAAAAAGAAGTACCGTCAAAATCGGTCCAGCCATTTCAGAGATTAGCCGGAACAAACAGACCGACAGACAGACAGACTAAAATTATAAAAATTGTTATTTTGGTATATGTACCTTATATATATTCATATGCATGTAGTAAAAAACGGTTATTTCAATATTACAAACAGACACTCCAATTTTATTTATATGTATAGATGTATAGATTATTATTTATTTATTTATTTATTCATCCAAAATAATACAAATTGTGTAGGATAACGTAATAGTAACATTACAGTAAAATTTTGTCAACAACATAATAGCAACTTAAATATTAAATCTCGGTATATCTATAGACTAGCTGGCCCCAGCGACTTCGTCCGCGTGAAATTTTATTTTATTTTTCTAAAATAACAGTAGCGTAAGTTACTCCTTATTACATCAGCTACTTGCCAAAAAAAGTCCCGTCAAAATCGGTCCAGCTATTTCAGAGATTAGCCGGAACAAACAGACAGACAGACAGACAAAACTTGTAAAATATGTTATTTTGGTGTATGTACCGGATTTATATTCATATGCAAGTAGTAAAAACGGTTATTTCAATATTACAAACAGACACTCCAATTTTATTTACATGTATAGATGTATAGATTAAAAAAAAGTAACAGTCATAAGGCTAGTCGTATGCCTAATATATATAATAATGTAATAAATTCATTTAAACAGAAATTGCGGCAACATTATTTAAATTTGTAACTTTTTTACTGTCCTTCTCCATTTTTCACATCTTTCTGTTATATCCCTATAGTTCTCTCTATATTTTCTGTTTTTCTTACTTTCAATTTGAGACTGTACTTATAATTTGATTATCAGATCATTATGTATTTATTAGATATTAACTATTATATTATGCATAAAAAATATTTGTAATAATAAAGAAAATACATTTAAAATGTTTTACTTGTTGTGTTAGTTATTTATAAGATCTTACTATAATTGTTAGCTGCTTTACAATTTAGAAAGTACAATAGGTAATGTAAATTAAAATTAATTGAATACTTAACAACGTTTTGTTCGATTAAATTCATTTAATTATTAAAATAGTTAATTTAAAATTAGAATAAAGACAAAAAAAAAATAACAAAAAAAAAATCGGTGGCGGGAATCGAACCTTGAGCGTCCGTTTGGTAAGTTGATTTGAAATTCAAAGGCTTATTTCTTCGAAATTACTGGTCATTTTGAAATAATACTTAGGGTTCGCATACCCTTATCGGATACTACTACTACACGGAGTTTCGTCAAAATAAAATATCTAGGTTAGGTATAATAAATTCATAATTAATAGACCGTTACGGTATCTGTATATATTCGGATCAAAACAAGTACTATGAAATAAGAACGAGTATATAAATTGATTAACACAAGTAATTGATTTTTGAAATATATTCAGAGCCAAAAAGTCTTGTTTCTTTATTTATGTACTTGTTAGATGCGACAGCGACTTTGTTTTATACTATACTATGTAATGATTGATATACCTAAAATAAATAAAATATCTGAGGTTTGGACAAAAACTCAAAGGGTAATTTATTTTGAAAAAGTATTTTGAAAATACCTATTTTGCTTTTAGTGTTATAGTACTTTAACTGTTATGTTTTAAGTAACAATGTTTAATTATAATTAATACTACTGCACCAACACTCCGATCGTGCAAAAAAATTTGCTGTTTCATTATTTTTTAGTTCAATTAGTGGTCTACCTAAGTCCTGGGCTAAGGGGGGGAGAGTCGTGACGCCCCCATGACTCCCATGACCTCCATGACGCTCCCCCTGGATCCGCCGTTGCGTCTTCTCTTTATTCGCTCAGTAACTTTGTTACAAAAGAAAAGATTCCCGTCCAAAAAATAATAAGTATTGAGGTTTGATCTGGAGTCACGTTACTCCAGACTGATTTCTATAAATATTTAGATTAGATAGACTATTATTCTTGAAATACTAGCTAGACATTATTAAGTTACTGTAGCCATAATGTAGTAGCCCAAACGTGCCAATGAGGAAGCCCTTGGCAAATGCTGCACCCTGATTGGCCCGTTTGAATTGGATCAAGAACTGCTCGTATGCCAAAAAGGTGGATTTGTATAAAATCGTGTATAAATCGCTTAATTATTATTATTACTCGTCGTGACAGTTGTGGCTCAAAACGGATCAACATTTATATATGGTCAGCTGGCATTAGATCAACAAAAGGCCTCCGGATCAACAAGTGAAAATGGATCAACAAAAAACTACCTATACGGCACGTCTGAGCCACAAAGTGCCCAAGGGGATATTTATATATATATATATATATATATATATATATATATATATATATATATATATATATCTACTTACGTAGTGTATTACACGTTGTAATTATCAATTACAATATATACGGAAAACACAAAGTTTGTTTTATGGTGTTTCTTTCAAAGATAAAAGCACTAGTTTACGTTAATTATAATCACGTGAATATGTAACTCTACCTCAATATTTTTATTTAATTCTTTACTTTAAGAATCTTTTTAATTAATTCGTATCGTAGTTAGTTCCACTGTATTGTAAATTCTAAAATATCAATGGGAAGACTCCGTAATAGTTTTGTTCAATTGGGGACCGAAGCTTCGTCCACCTGTTTCACGCGTTACATTGCGACACGGACGCGTGTTCGTGATATCGTGGTACGGGGAGAACGAGCGAGCGCTGGAGGTCGATCGGCGATACGTAAAACTATCGGGGAGCCGCCTGCATATATACAAGAGTTGCCTATGTTCAGGGGCCTCTCTTATGAATGGTTATCATTCAAGGCAAGCTACGAAGATACACAGCAATACTTCTCGAAGATAGAAAACGTAGCACGCCTGCGAAAATGTATAAAGGGACCAGCACTAGACGCCGTGAGCAGCCTACTCCTGAGTCAACATGAACCAAATGTCATCATAGAAGCACTGGAAAGAAGATTCGGAAGACCAAAAGCACTCATACTCATCGAGATGGATAGAATCAAGTCACTGAGCAAGATCACCGATAACCCACGGGATCTCTGCGTGTTCGCCGACAAAATAGCGAACACAGTCGCTACGATTGAAGCACTGAAGAAAACACAATATCTACACAGCCCAGAAATGACACGTCTCATCATAGAGAAGCTCACACCTATAATAAAAAATAAATGGTACGACTACGCGCTGAAAAAGGAAGACATCCCGGAATTGAAGAAAATGTCTGTCTTCCTAAACGAAGAGGCAGACAAATGTGCAGCGTACGCCGCGCCGGAACGTCTCGTTGAGAGCGAGACGGCAACAAGGGAGAGAGCGAGACGGAAGATCGAACATTCATTTGCTACTAATATGAAGCAAAACAATGAAAATGTATGTCCGCTGTGCAAACGCAACCATCAGCTGCCTGACTGCGAGCAATTCAATAACATCCACGTTAATTCAAGATGGGAAACTGCAAAGAAGAATAACATATGCTACAAGTGCCTGAGAAGTAAACATCGACGCGCCGTCTGCAGAGCTCCATGGTGTGGCAAATCTGGATGCCACATGAAACACCATCACTTGTTGCATCATGACAGAAAAGAAGAGGACCAGCTTCAACAACCACCAGAAGAGCATGGGGTGGTAACTTTTACGATGGAAGGCAATGAAGAATGACTCCGACGTCGCGCCTATCTGAAAATAGTACCTGTCATATTGCAAGGGCCGAAGAGCAAGATAGAAACATACGCTCTTCTCGACGAAGGCAGCACCGTGACACTCATCGATACATCGGTGGCTGACATGCTGGGTATTGATGGTCCGGCAAACACGATGTGGATACAGGGCGTCGGCGCCATGGTCAAGCATGAACACAGCAAGACAACCAGCGTGAAAATCAAGGGCAAACACTCTTCAACCATCTTCAAGCTAGATCAAGTCCGCACAGTGGATCGACTGGATATCACTACCCAATCGGTCGTCGACAGCGACATAAAGGAGTGTGGTCACCTGAAAGAAATACAAGAAGAACTCGTCTACCACCGTGCCTCCCCCAAGTTATTAATAGGACAAGATAACTGGGATCTCATCGTGTCAAGAGAAGTACGGGCGGGACGTCGTGACCAACCGGTAGCATCCTACACGCTACTAGGTTGGGTTCTGCATGGTTGCAAGACGTCTCTCAGCAACCCGGTGACTTTCTGCGGGCACCTGGTGGAGAAGAAAGATGACGTCAACATAGAAGAAATGATGAAAAATTACTTCAAGCTGGAGTCACTATGCATCGAACCCAGAAAACCAAAAAATGATCCAGAGCAGCGAGCTTTGAAAATACTAGAACGAGAAAGTCGCCGTCTTCCGAATGGAAGATATGAAACTGGGCTACTTTGGCGAGAAGACAGCATGAAAATACCGACCAATTACACCGAAGCAAGAAAACGCCTGCATAACCTCGAAAAGAGATTAGACAGAGATGAAAACCTGAAAATTAAATACAACGAACGAATCAATAACCTAATCACGTCGGGGTATGCAGAGCACGCCAAGACACCGCCAGCTGAAGACAGAACATGGTACCTGCCACACTTCCCGGTTGCGAACCCAGCGAAGCCACACAAGCCGCCGCGACTGGTGCATGACGCCTCCGCTAAGACTGCAGGTCTCAGCCTAAACGACCTGCTGCTTTCTGGACCTGACCTGTTGCAATCACTGCCTGGGGTGGTGATGAGGTTCACACAGTACGCCTACGGAGTCTCTGCAGATATCAAAGAGATGTTTATGCAAGTAAAAATTAAGAAAGAAGACCGCGACGCGCTCCGTTTCCTGTGGAGAGGTGACCGGCGGGAGGGCGACCCACACGAGTACCGCATGACGTCATTAATATTCGGAGCGACGTCATCACCCTGCACCGCTCTGTATATAAAAAACCGCAACGCTTTTTTTTTTTTCGGACTACTCTAATGCTGTTGGCCGTAGCTGGCCTTTACAGCTTCACCGGACGTTATGGGGCGAGTGCAGATGGCACTCCAAACCCGCGGAAGGACTTATGGAGCGGCTGAAGGCCAACTCCTGCCCGACGGATACGACTTTAGTCTGAGGGCACCACTAGGGGTTCGAACCTCGGCTCAGGCCGTCGTAATTTCGATCCCCGTTTGAATTGGACGGGGGATCGATCGGAGGGGCGCCCGGGCGCGCAAGCGCCCGGTTGAATGCGCGATATTGTGGTGTGTTTGAGGTCGTCGTATTCACCGGCGAGGACGGTGTCGTATGTGTGTAAAAGTGTGGTCGGGGTGGAACGGGTGGGCCCGTGGTGAGGTTACCTGCCGTTATGGGGTCGTCGGGATCAATGAGAATGTGCCTTGGGCGACGTTGTCGCGTATGTCGGATATTACTCCTCGGGCGTAGTCGACCGCACTGACTATAAGCGGGTTAGGGTGGGATTGGGCAGAGTCGAAGTAGCGTTGAGACGCTTCCTTCATAAACTGCTTGATGGAGGGCAGATTAAGATCACGTTGGAGATCTACGCTGCGAACGAACCACGGCGCACCGGTGGCTCGACGCAGAAACCTATTCTGTATGACCTGTAGTCTGTTGATTAAACAGTAGGGTATGTGGGCGAATACGGGACTAGCGTAGGTCATGATGGGACGGATGCAAGCCTTGTATAATGTCAGCTTGTTGCGAAGCGACATTTTACTGTGCTTGTTAATAAAAGGATAGAGTCGCCCTAGTATAAAGGCGGCTCGGTCGCGGACACGCTTGATGTGAGGACGAAACGTTAGTTTCCTATCTAGGGTGACGCCGAGATATTTCGTTTTCGAAACCCACGGGATGTTTTGGCCGAATAGTTCGATCGGGTGATTCATAGAGTCGAATTCCCTGCTAAAGTACACTGCTGCACTTTTTTCGGGATTGACTTCTATGCGTCACCGACGGAACCATTCGCCCAGCATGGTTACGGCTTTCTGAATCCGTCTGGCTATTGTCGCATGGGACTTGGCGGATGTAAATAGAGCCATGTCATCGCAAACAGCGATATTTCTACTTTTAAGTCGGAGAATTTAGGGATGTCGTTGGTGTACAACGAGTAGAGTTGGTGTACATCGGAGAGAGGACGGCGCCCTGAGGGACGCCGGCTTGTATGGGGTGCGGGTCGGATAACGCTCCGTTTATACGGTAGCGATAAGAGCGATTCGACAGGAAGTCTCGTACAATGAGTACTAGCCTGTCGGGGACACCTAACTGATGAAGCTTGTAAATCAAGCCGTTGTGCCAGACTTTATCGAAAGCCTTAGCCACATCGAAAAATAGGACGCCTGTACCGCCTTTGGGGGACTTGGTGGCGAAGTACAGAGTGTTTTTGTGAATGTGCTCCGTAATGCGGTGCACTTGATGGACGCATGAGTGTTTGGCTCGGAAGCCAAACTGCTCATTGATGAGCAGGCCTTTGGAGTATATAAACTCTTTTAGGCGGGCGAAGAGGAGTCGCTCGTACAGCTTGCCTATAGCCTTGAGGAGGCTGATAGGACGATAACTGGACGGGTCGGATTTAAACCGCAACGCAGAAGACTACGCGCATATATATCCCGACGCCGCAATCGCTATACGAAGAAATCATTATATGGACGACTATCTACAAAGCTTCTCATCAATCTCAGAAGCCAGAAAAATAACAAGAGAAGTCGATTATATACATAAACAAACCGGCTTCGTACTCAGCGGATGGGCATCAAACAATCGCAATACTATCGACGAGTTTATAGCAAGCGAGCGAGACAACACTACAGAAAGCGGGACAAATAGTACAGCGGTTCTGATTGGCGGGAGCGATACTGAGCGAGCTCTCGGCTTGTTATGGGATATAAATGAAGACATAATTGGATTTCAAGTTAACAAAATAAAAACGCCGCAAGATATATTAGAAAACAAACGGATACCAACGAAAAGAGAAGCGCTCAGCATCATCATGGCTCTCTTCGACCCCCTTGGCCTCATATCACCCATCACAACGCCAGCGAAAAGATTACTGCAAGATACATGGCGCTATAAAACAGGCTGGGATGAATCGCTACCAGAAGAACTGCAGCCAGCATGGAGTACTTGGTTGACATCATTGCGCACTGTACACAAGATACGCATACCACGATGCTATGACGTCACACCAGTGGTCACCCATCATCTACATACCTTCGTGGATGCCAGTGAAGAGGCGTACGCCGCGGCAGTGTACTGGCTGTCACAAAGAGCCGACGGTACCACACATGTCACCTTGGCCGCCGCTAAAAGTCGCGTCGCACCGCTCAAGCCCGTCTCAATCCCGAGACTTGAACTTCAAGCTGCGTTAATGGGTGCGCGCCTCGCACATACCGTGGCGGAGGAGCACGACTACGAAATAGCGAGTAAAACATACTGGAGCGACTCTCGGACAGTCCTAGCATGGATAAGGTCAGAACCAAGGGCCTTTAAGACCTTTGTGGCTCACCGCCTGGCTATTCATTTTTCTTTGTTGTGTCTTCTATTACAGAAGACACAACAAAGAAAAATGAATGGCGGTGGGTCCCTACACATGAAAATGTAGCTGATGATGCCACCCGAGGTATACCAAGCGAATTCGGACCACAGCACAGATGGTTCAACGGGCCATCATTTTTACATCAGCCAGAAAACGAGTGGCCGCGAGAAACGAGGACAGCGATATCAGTCAAGGGCGAAGAGCGAGAGAGATGCCATGTGACCGTTACAAGTACGGCTCACGCACACTTACCTGACATCGACCGATTCTCGCGGTGGCTGCCGCTCATCAAATGGAGTGCGCGCGTGCTACAATTTGTTGATCTCTGTCGACCTCAAAGAAATATTGTAGCCGCCACTAAGAAACGAACCAAGAAGAATGAAAAGGGCGATGTTGACTGGAGAAAAAAGAATAATGAAAAAATCATAACAAGAAATGGAAGAACGAAAATAACGACGCCCAGCATCCCGGTGCCAGCGCAGTACCTACTTGAAGCCGAGAGAATGTGGATGCGAGCCTGCCAGGAAGATAGTTTCGGGAATGAAATATTACGAATAAAAAAGGGAAGTCCATTTAATAAACAAGACAGACTGACAGCGCTAAGTACCTACATCGACACAACCGGAATGCTGCGATTAAGAGGACGAATTACAGCAACATCGAACGTAGAAAAATATGTACTCAACCCACCCGTGTTAGACGGGAAACACAGATATACACGTCTGTATATACAACACATACACGAAACAATGCACCACGGCGGTATAGAAGCGGTAGTGAATGAGCTACGGCAGCGGCTGTGGGTTGTAAACATAAGACCCACAGTACGGAACGTCATCAAGGGGTGTCTGGTCTGCCAGATAAGAAGAAAGAAGCCAGCAAGTCCATCGACCGGTGACCTGCCTGCCGCCCGCCTAGCGCATCACGCTCGCCCCTTTACCTACACAGGGCTGGACTACTTCGGCCCCATTGAAACCACAGTCGGACGGCACCGAGAAAAACGGTACGGCGCCCTCTTCACGTGTATGACATCACGAGCCATACACATTGAAGTGGTGCATACCCTCGGCACTCATTCAGCCATCGCCGCCCTAAGGAGATTCATGGCTCGGCGAGGTTGTCCGACGGAAATATGGAGCGACAACGCTACGTGTTTCAAGGCAGCTAAAAAGGAACTCAAGGCGGCTATGGCAGCACTAGAAGAGGAGGCCACCAACCGCAGCATCGCGTGGAGGTACATCCCACCCGCTGCTCCCTTCATGGGCGGGGTATGGGAACGCATGGTGCGGTCAGTAAAGGAAGCCTTACGAGTTACGCTGCACGAGCGTTATCCCACAGACGAGACATTGGTGACCCTGCTAGCCGAGGTGGAGAATACAGTCAACTCCCGACCTCTCACTCACGTGTCCGTCACACCGAGCGATCCGGAGGCATTAACACCGACCCATATCCTGATCGGCCCTAACTCACACGTGTCTAATCCCGGAGTGTTCAACAAAGGAGACATGAACGCACGACATCATTGGCGACGAGCACAAGCGTTAGCAGATGAGTTCTGGAGGCGCTGGGTGGTGGAATACCTACCCTTACTTCAACACCGGCGGAAGCCCCGAGGTACCGGTGTCCCCCCCAAGGTTGGCGACATAGTCATCATATGCGACCCCAACCTACCCCGAAATACATGGCCACGGGGACGCATTGTGAAGACCTACCCCGGGAAAGATAACCCCAACACGGTGCGAGTGGTAGACATCACAACGAGCAACGGGCGCACCCTGAGAAGACCAACAAAACGAATCGTCGTGTTACCAGTAGAATCGCAGGATTGCGACGGCGGGAGAAATGTACACGACGGAATCAATTAGAAAATAAGTTTTAGCTGTAATTAGTATAAAAAGTTATCCTCAATAAAATATATAATATAGTGTTTTTTATTGCCCTAGATATAAGTAATTAGTATAAGCAGAATTTGTATATAAGTAAGATAATTTTTTTAATAATAATAAATCACACGCAACGTACAGTTGCAGTAGGGAAGGCCAACCGTCGGGCGTCTATATAAAGAGCGCGGCCGCGCAGCGGTCCGCATTCACTGGCGAGACAGCGACGCGATAGGTGCCTTCCTACTAAGTGCAAACAACCGAGCATTTTTACTTCGCCGTCCGACCATACGACTAGGGATCCTATAGTACATAGTCCTGTCACCATCAGGTTGGACTAAACAGTACTGTTTCCCTTTAATTTTGCTACTTATTGTCCAATCTTGACTCCATGAGTCATGAAGACAAGGCAGTTAGATCATGGCAAAAGTTTTTATAAGGAAAAAGATCTTCAGATAATATAGCTTCATTCCAAAGCAAATCTGCTTTTTCGTTGCCCCGAATGCCACAGTGACCCGGAATACAAACGAAAGATACAATATGTCCTTTGAGACGAATGCTATTCAACATATCTCGGATATAAAAAATTAGAGGACACTGTTTAGATGATTTGAATGGACATTTAATTAGAGCTTGAAGAGCACTTTTAGAGTCCGTAAATATAACAGTTTGCTTAAGATTAAAAATTTTAATATATTCTACTGCTTTAAAAATTCTATTGCATTCACCAGTAAAAACAGAGGTCTCTGGTGGAAATTTAATTTTCTGAATTATATGAAATTGTGAGTGGTAAATTCCTACACTAATATTTCCTGTATGTGAGTGTTTCGATGCGTCACAATAAATTTGATGATGGCTTTCCCATTTAGAGTTTACTACTTGATTAAACATTGCATTTAGATTAGGATGTTCTTTTTCTATGTTAATATCAAAATGAACGTCAGGGGTAAAAGTTAAAGATTCATATGCTGAACTAAATAATGGAAGACAGGGAGATCGATGAGTGGGAGCTCGGATGGCAGTAAAAGTTCTGTAACTTTTTACTAAGCAAGGTAGAGATTTATGAGACCAATAGGATGATGAAGAAACAAGATCAGAGAGCGATTGCAGTTTAGGGATCAGAGGATGGTTAGAAAACTGTAAAACACGAAATAAAAATTTATTAGATAAATACTGACGCCTTAAATACAATGGAGGATCACAACATTCTACTTGCATCGCATTATTGGGACTAGATTTCATGGCGCCCAATATAATCCTTAGAGCTTTAGCTTGAATATTATCCAATTTTTTTAGGGCTGTAGCATTAGTAGGTTCCAAAATAAATGTACCGTAATCCATAACACTCCTTATGAGAGCATGTTAGGGAATTTACTCTCTGCTACCAAAATGTTAGGGAAAGTACTATGTATATATATAGGGAAAAATATTTGGAAACGTCTGTCTCGTACCTGTATGGTTCTGCGGATTTCTTGAGCTTCAGGGTCTCGAAGATATCTTCGCTAGCTTTCCAGTTTCACAGTAGGTTTAACACAGTTCTAATTTATTTTAATTCACAACCCAATGCGCGCGCGCGTCAAGGCCGCTGTACGCTCAGTTCAGTACTGTGTAAGGGAGGGGAAGGAAAAGCGCGGGAACAGAAAACTAACGGACTCTAATATAATAATCTGTGGTTACGATGATACAGGGTAGATTTTGAACAGAGCATTATATATTAATTTTAATTGAAATGGATGGGATCCCCACCACACACTCGTAAGGCATCTTAGAATATTAAGAAGTCGTTCACATTTAGCTGAAACGTATTTACAATGTGGTAAACCAGATAATTTAGAATCGAGAATTATGCCTAAAAATTTTATTTTTGTCTTTACTTTTTTTTATCGTGTGATCTTTCCATGACGACGGAATATTCCTGTAGGGTACTTGGAAAATAAATCAGTTAGCATCCAACTCGGCCTTTCATTGTTACTCCATTGGCGCAGTCGGCATTTAAATACGTTTAAAGTGATTACTTTTAAAGTTTATACGCGATTGTGACACTATAATGTTGGCGCGCAAGCGACGACTGTGGACGACTGCGGGGTCTGCGGGCGCCGCCGGGCATCATCATCCGGGTCGTCCGCTGGTCCTAACTGGACCGCTGGGTACGGGCCCCGAGCTTGCGCTCCTTGCCCGGGCATTCTGCTGGGGTGAACCACCCCAGCGTCGTTCTTTTACCGGCCGACCTGCCGGCCGGCCGGAGAGCGGCTGCTCCTTAGCAGCCGCCTGTGGGCGTTGTGTGGCGGGAATCATTCTTTCGCTCGCCGAGCCGGCGTAACGCCGCCACGTCACGTAAATGACGTGATCACTCGGAGAGTAGGTCGCGCGGGAGCGCGCGAGTGGCGTCGTGGGCGCGCGTCAACCGGACGACGAACTGCTCCACCGATGGGACCTTGAGGTCGCGGGCGATCACGTCATTACGGACGTACCGTCCGGCATTTGTGCACAGACGGAAGGCAGCGTTTTGTTGGACCTGCAGTCTCCGTCGCTGGAGGCCGAGTACAGTGCGTACCATGCGGAGGCAGCATATGTGAGCCGCGAACGAATGTAGGTCATATAGATGCCTACCTTCGTCCGCAGCTGCAGTCTGGATTGTAGGACCGGTAGCAGCATAGCGCGCGCGGCCTGGCTTGGGTCACCGGCCCGGTCCACCTGCGGCGTCATACGCAGCGACCGGTCGATTTCTACCCCAAGGTAACGCACTGTGCGTTCCCACTGTATGGGCTGGCCTCTCAGTAAGAGGGGCGGCGGGCATTTGCACCCGGGGCGGGTAAGCAGCGCCACCGTTTTACCCACGTTAACGGTGGTACGCCACTTATCCAGCCACTCGGGGAGCAGGTCCAACAGCCGCTGCATTTTGCGAGCGGCTGCGTAGGCTCGGCGAGACGACGTAAGAAAGGCACTGTCGTCGGCAAACAGAGCGAGGACGACATCCCTCTCTCCCTCTCGGAGCTCATCCCTCAAGGTGGGGATGTCGTCTGTGTACGTCGCGTAGAGCGCTGGCGAAATGCAGCTGCCCTGCGGGACTCCGGCGGCGATTGGGCGTGTGGTAGAGTCACAGTTCTCGACCGAAACGTAGAAGCTCCGGCCCGAGAGGAACGAGTCCACTACTCGCACGTATGCTGACGGCGTGTTGGTGTCGAGCAGCTTTGACACCAAACCGTCGTGCCAAACGCGGTCGAACGCTTTCTCTATGTCAAGAAATACGCCGACCGTGTAGTGGCCGTGGTTGTGCTCGACAGCCATGTGGTGGAGTACGCGCGTCAGCTGCAAATTCGTCGAGTGTCCGCCTCTGAAACCGAACTGCTCGTCGCGAGGCGACAGAGTCGGTCTCAGGCGGCGGAGCAGGAGGCGCTCGAACGACTTTGCTACGTGCGAGAGCAGAGTGATGGGCCGGTAGCTTGCCGGCAGGCGCTTGTCCTTGCCGGGTTTCAGGAGGACTATGACTCTACCCAACTTCCAGTTGGTAGGGAAGTGGCCGGTCCGGAGTATGCCGTTGTAGAGCCTCGCTAGACACGCTAGGGCTCTACGGGGCAGCTGTGCGAGCGCTGCGGTGCTGATCCCGTCCGCTCCGGGCGCTTTGCGCTTCGGTAGACGGCTGACTAGCCGCCTTACCTCGCCGGGCGAGACGAAGCTCACCTCGGTAACGTCCGGCGACGGAGCGGTACGGAATTCACATACGCGACGTACGACTCGCTCGTGGTGCTCGACGACAGTGCTGGGTGCGTCGGCGGCGATTGGATTGGCCGTGAATTGCCCCTCCAAGTGCTGTGCCAGGATTTCTGCCCGGTCTTGGGCTGCGTAACGACGTCTGCCCGTCTCGTCAAGGAACGGGCAGACGGGGGGTCGTGCATTGGTGAGCTGTCGATTGAGTTGGTGCAGGTTGGTTTCGTGTTCGCCGGCCCGGGATATGACACCCTCCCAGGCGGCTCCACGCCAATCCCGCACTCCCTCCGACAGCTCTGCAGCCAGGCAGTTGAGCCCACGCTTGACCCGCGGGCAGCGGGTTCGGGCCCATAGGCGACGGAGATTCTTTTTCCGGGCGAGTTTTTCGCGCAGATGGTGTGGCAATTCCTCTCGACGGCGAGAAGCCACGTTTATTGTGGTAGTTGCCGCCTCCACTGCGGTGCGAATTCGCTCCGTTATGAGTGTGGAGGCGGCTTCGACACCCTCTGGCGATGATAGTTCGCCGTCGAGGTGTAGATGCTCCAATTCTGCGCGAAAAACACGCCAATCCATCCGCCGCCTCGACGGTCTCGTCGGTGTGGTGGTGGTGGAGAGGTCAAGCGTGGCTAGAACTGGGAGGTGCTGCGTGTCAAGGTCGTACAGCACCTCCAGTAAGACCGGGCAAGGCACAGCCTGCACTAGGGCAATGTCCAGAACGTCTGGGCTATGTGTGGGATTTGAGGGTACGTGGGTTGGGTGCGCTGGGCCCAACACCTCGTACCCGTGGATCTGCGAATCCTGGAGGAGTCTTCGACCTATCGGCGAGCACAAACGGGAACCCCAAGCCGTGTGCTTCGCGTTTAGATCGCCCATAAGCAGGGTGGGACTCCTCCCATCCAGAACGTTCCGGACATCGGAGGGGCTGAATTCCGGTCCCGGGGGACGGTAACCTGCCAGGACCTTCAGTTCCGCGCCGTCGACGTTGATGCTTACTCCTATGGAGCGCATGACGCGGAACTCGGGGCGCTCTAACTCCACGTGGACCACGTCTCGACGGACTAGTACCGCCGTACCGCGGTACGCAATGCCCGCCGATGACGTTTCGTCGCGTCTATACACGTGGTAGTTAGGCACCCTCAACGTCTCCTTTTCTGTGAGCTTCGTTTCACCCAGGAGTATGATGTGCACATCCTGGGTGCGAGCTAGGAGACGGAGGTCCTGGACTTTATCCTTTATTCCCCCGGGGTTCCAGTACACAATGCGCAGGCTAGTACCCGCCATTTCTGTATTGTTGGATTTTGGCCAATCCGTTTAATGCCGCCGACTTTGTGTCCGCGCCGGCCGCGAGCGTAGTAAGCAGCTCCGTCAACAGGCTAATAAGCATGTTCAGTGCTCTGTCGACGGGCGCTTGTGTGAAGGGCGCGGGCGCGGCGTGTGCCGAACGCGACTCGGGGTATGTGGTAGGCGCGGGAGGTGCGCGTCTTACGTCCGCCAAAAGCGGCTTGAAAGCCACTCTCGGCACATTGTGTGCCGGTGGCGCCGCCTGGCGGCGACGTGGCGCTGCACGCGGGCCCTGATTTGGGACGGCATGCATGGGAAGGGAGGGGGGTGCGTTGTACGAAAATATTGGGGTGGGATCAGGTAGGAAGGGGATTGGGGTTGATGCCGTCACGGGCTCATCTCCGCGCCTCTTCTTGCCGCGTCTTCGGCGGCGGCGCTTTTTCGTAGCACCGGCGTCGGCGCCTCGTTGCGTCGGTTCGTTAGCCGGCGCCATTAGGTTGGCGCCAGCGGTTTCCTCGACCGTTATTACGGGAGGGGGAGCCTGGGCGACGTATGTACGAGGCGCCGCGGTGGGATTGTTGCGCCGCCGTTGCTGCGCCGTGGGCGCCGTCGACGTCGCAGTGGGGACGGGGGGACGGGGTTTGATTCCCCTCTGCCGGGCCTCTCTTTTGTACACCGGGCACTTCCGGTCGTTGGCGGTGTGCGGCTTTGCGCAATTGGCACAGGTCGGCTTTTGGTCACGCGGCCTGTCGCAGTTCGCCGCCGGGTGCTCCCCACCACAGCGAACGCATTTGACGGGCCGGTGACAATTGGCCGACGCATGGCCGAATGCCTGGCATCTGTGGCACTGAGGCAACACAGATGCCGGCTTCCACGCTTCAACGACGACGCCACGCATGTACAGGAGCTCGTCCACCGCATATAAGCGTGCGAGCTCATCCTTGTCCATGGGGTCGAGTTGAGCGTGGAAGATACAGCCGGGACGACCGCGACGGGCAGGAATACCCCGCACCAGTCGCACTCCGAATCCCTTATCCTGTAGGGCATCCACTATCCTCTCATTGGGGGTGTCGGCGGGGAGGCCCCGTATCGCCACCTTGGTGGGCAGTTCCGAGGCCAGACTGTAGAAGTACCAACTTATAGTTGGGTCCTTCTCGCTGGCTTGTATAAGGTATCTCTGGACGGCTCGGAATTCGTCGTCCGTCCTTGGCAGGAATCTGACCCCACTGCCGAAGGGTCGTGCATTTGGAGCCTCCCCCAGGACGCGCCTAAGCTGCTCGAAGTGGCGCGTCCAATTTGGGAGGCGTTCTGCCACTATGGGGGGGTATTTTCCTCGCCCTGTGGCGGGTTCAGCGCCTGCGTCGGCGTTCCTCGTCTGAGAGGGGATTTTCGGAGCGAGGGCCGGGGCAGCCGAGGTGGCAGGGGCTGGGGTGGCGGGGGCCGAGGTGGCGGGACCCGCCGCTACTGCCGCGAATGACGGCGGGGTTCTCGTTCTAGGCGAGGGGACGGGGGGGAGCATCGGCTCGGGCGATTGTGGCACCGATTCGAGTGCCGCATATGACGTGGCGTCATACTCGCCCCTATCTAGCGTATAGGAGCGAGGTAGCGGCGAGCGCACACGCGAGGGTGCTGGCGAGGGCGCAGGCGAAGGCGCGCGCGAAGGCTCAGGCGAGGTCGCAGGCGACGCATGTACGTCGCCGTAAAAACGCCTGTCTTCCCCTCCCTCCTCGCTCCCGCTATCCGGCGGGGGGGAGGGTGAGCGCGGAGGGGGTGAAGGCTTTCGCCGCACGGTACCCGACTGGGACGGTAGGGGTTCCATTCCGTGCATTGGGTACCGCACGCACTTCTCTTAACACTTGTAATATATATTCTAAAATACATAATCATACAGTCCACAATGTGATATCATTTCACCACCCTAACCGGGCCTAATCAATGGTCCTTCTGCACCGGTATACAAGCCGTCTTAAGCAGAGCCAAGCTGTATATATGCAAGTCAGAAATTTGAAGACCAACACGTCGTGAATAACGGTCGCGAGTTGGACTTCGAGTATCTCTTCGTGGAGTGGAGTCGTCGCACAGCCTACATAGAAAACGATGTCACTTGTGGGAGTATTGCATTGTATTTGAGTGAGTCCGTTCCAACTAGACAACTTTCTTATTTCTTAACGTTGCCGAAAAACTCATTCTTTACTATTCAAAACTGCATTTCTATCCCTCTTTAAATCATTTATTATTTAGCTTTGCCCTTATTTTCTTATACACAGTCACGTATAGCTTACATTACTATATACATTGCATTCTATTAATTTGCGCGCTTAGAAGCAGCTAGTAACAGCCGGTCCGGTGCATCGACCTTGCACTCGACCGTGACCGTCATTGACCGTGCGTGACATTTACCTGCGCTTGCGCTACGGACATAGCTCTTAGTAACAGCCGGTACGGTGCATTGACCTTGCACTTGAACGTGTCATTGACCGTACGCGACCTTCGGCCCCTTCTTTCGGCTTCAGCATTTTCTTAAGACTTTAATATGGCAGATTCTATTAAAACATTAATTAAAAAACCTAGTTCTATGAAGTCTAAAATTACAGTTTTTAACAATTATTTAAATTTAATCAGTAGTAATGCGGATATATCTCATTTGCAACGTTTAGACTTGGAGGAGCGTTTTAATAGGTTCGAGGCCGTGTATTCCGATTTTGATGCATTACAGACCGACATCGAGGTGCTTTCTGACGACGCCGAGGCCGAGTCCACTCTGGCCGACCGTGAGGAATTCGAAAGCCAGTTCTTTCGTGTGGTGGCTCTCGCTCGCAGCCTACTGGCGACTTCGCGCGACGGTGCTGGGTCTGTGGCGGGTTCTAAAGATGCTAATTCAGGTGCACTCAATACAAAACAGAATTTTGTTCGTTTGCCGAAAATTTCCCTACCCTGCTACGACGGATGTTATCAATCCTGGTTGGAGTATAGGGACACATACATCTCACTGATTCACAACAATGCATGTATCGACGACATCAACAAGTTCCACTACTTACGTGCCTCACTTAAGGATAGCGCGGCTTCAATCATTCAAAATATAGACTTCAAAGCAGAGCATTATAAAATTGCGTGGGACTTGTGTGAGCAATATAACAACAACCGTGTCCTTGTGAATAATCACATTCAAGCGTTGTTTGATGTTGAACAGATATCGAGGGAATCAAGTGTGTCACTTAGAGGTCTGGTTGATGTCATTAATAAAAATATAAGGGCACTAACAACTCTAAATCAGCCCACTAATCATTCGGATACCCTCATCATCTTTATAATGGCAAAAAAGCTGGACGTCACAACTAGTCGTAACTGGGAGGAACACAAAAACTCATTAGCTACTGATCCCATTTTATCATTATTTTGTACATTTTTAAATAAAAGGGCTGACTTATTGGAGTCTGTCGAGTAAATTTTCATTAATTGCAGTACTTCAATTGTCGCTTTAAATAATCAAACTAATAATAATAAATCTATCATTACTCATAATAAGAAATCAATTTCTTATAATAAGCAATCTGTCATTAAATGTCCACTTTGCTCTCAAGCACACTCATTATATTCTTGTGAATCTTTTAGGGCCTTATCTATAGAAAATCGCATTCAAAAGGCGAAAGAATATAAAGTGTGCCTAAATTGCTTACGCTTAGGCCATAACGCAAAATATTGCAAATTAACTCATTGCAAATATTGCAAAGTTAAACATAATACACTTTTACATATAGAAATAAATAGTACAATCCCATCTCATCATGTTCTGCCTTCTGCATCGCCTTCTCTGTCAAATGATGTCGCTTTATCAGCCGATACTATGCAGCTTGCTACTTCTGCGCATTGTCTACTTTCCACAGCATTGGTGAACGTGACCAACGCTACGGGCAACAAGTGCACGGCACGTCTACTGCTGGACAACGGTAGCACGGCGAACTTTGTTACGCAGAGCCTGTCGGAGAAACTGGGTTTGTCACAACGCGGTACGAGCACCAAGGTAACGGGTATAAATAGTCACGTATCTATAAGTACACAGTCTTGCAACCTCACCATAGAGTCTTTATGCTGTGCTTACAAAATTGATATCGAGTGTCACATTTTGCCTGAAATTACAAAGGTCTTACCGTCTTGGTTTGTGCATGTCAGGCATGTCCCTATCCCTGCAGGTCTTCAGTTAGCGAACCCGAATTTTAATATTCCGTCGGTCGTAGACATTCTGGTAGGGGCCGAAGTATTTTGGGATGTCCTGGGCAATAATTCTATTCATTTAGGCAAACACTTACCGACATTGTGTGAAACTAAATTCGGATGGTTAGTTTCAGGTAGGATTAAACAACCGGAATGTTCGTACTCACAGTTTTGTAATCATGTTAATATTTCAAATTCACCAGATATTACTAAATTTTGGGAGTTTGATAATATATCACCTTATCACTCTTTGTCTATTGAAGAAAAAATATGTGAGCAGCATTTTGCAACAACTACTTATCGCAAAAATGACGGTCGTTTTGTAGTTACTATGCCTTTAAAAAACTAGGTCATTCTTATGACACAGCAAAAAATCGTTTTCTGTCCCTAGAACGACGCTTTCAACGATATCCATCATTTAAAAATAAATACCTGGAGTTTATGCGCGAGTATGAACGATTAGGTCACATGACGTCGGATTCAAACTATACTACGTCAACTGAGGATACCGTAGTCACTCACTTCATTCCACATCATGGCGTCACTCGTGAATCTAGTGCTACTACCAAACTGCGCGTAGTATTTGATGCATCAGTTCCTACCAGTTCTGGCACGTCACTTAATGACATTCAGATGGTAGGACCTGTAGTTCAAGACGATCTATTATCCATTTTAATACGTTTTCGTCAACTTAGGTATGTATTTTCGAGTGACATTGAAAAGATGTATAGAGCAATAGAACTGAATCCAGACCAAAGATCTCTTCAAAAAATAGTATTCCGGTTTGACCATAAAGAACCCCTAAAAACTTATACATTAAACACACTTACATATGGTACCGCTTCCGCTCCTTATTTAGCTACTAAATGCTTAGTTAGTCTGGCGGATGACATTCAGGATAATCGAGTCAAGTGTGCAATACAACGAGATATGTATGTTGATGATTACTTAAGTGGGGGAAGTACAATCTCGGAAACCATCGAAGTAGCTAAACAAGTGCAGTCTATTCTTTCCTCTGCTAAATTCAACTTACGTAAGTGGCGTTCTAATCATCCCACTATTTTAGCACAACTTACTAACAGTCATGACACTATGAATACACCCCTAGAATTTTCTGAGCAACATTTAATCTCTTCTCAATCTAAAACACTAGGTTTATATTGGGTTTACGATTCGGATTTGCTCACCTTTAGAATTAACATTAATTCAGTAAATAAGGTCACTAAACGTCATATTCTTGCAGTAATAAGTCAAATATTCGACCCACTGGGACTCGTCGGCCCGTGCGTAGTCGAAGCTAAAATCATTCTGCAACGTTTATGGTTAGAGAAATATGACTGGGACGATGAAGTATCTCTCGAGATCAGTAACCTTTGGTCTACATTTCAAAATAGCATGTCCTCGCTTAATAGTTTAAAGATTCCTCGTTGGGTTTTGTATGAAGACTCTATCATTCACGAAGTACACGTCTTTACCGATGCGTCCGAAAGGGCGTATGGAACGTGTCTATACATTAGAACGTGTAGTGGTAGTGGTTCGATAGGTGTACAGCTTCTAGCTTCTAGAAACCGCGTAGCGCCAATTAAACCAACGACAATGCCGAGGCTTGAACTTTGTGGAGCTTTGTTAGGTGCAAGACTGTGTATCAAAGTTCCAAAATCATTGAATATACCTATCCATAAATGTAGATTCTGGTGTGACTCGACTATAGTATTAGGTTGGTTGTCGACTCCTGCTAACCAACTTAATCCTTTCGTTAGAAACCGAGTGCATGAAAGCACATACGGTCATACTTGGAGCTACGTACCGTCGAAGGACAACCCGGCGGATCTTGTTTCGCGTGGAGTAAAGGCCGACGTTATCGGAACTACCCCTTTATGGTGGTCCGGACCTTCGTTTTTACTTAAAAATGAAAATGAGTGGCCAATAATGCCAAACAAAACGAAACATGATTTGCCGGAAGTAGTAACTCATTTTATTAGTAGTGACAATCAATCATGTAGTAATTCATCATCTAGTAACACTCATTCATTATTGATACAACATTTATTAGAAAATCATTCAAGCTTAACTAAAATACAAAGAATAATAGCATACATACAAAGATTTATTCATAATTTAAAACATAATAGTAACAAATTGTGCGGCAATCTCTCTACGAGAGAACTGCAAGAATCATTAATTTATATTTTACATTTGTCACAAATTGATATGTTTCCAAACGAATTTGAAATTCTAAAATCTGGTCAGATATTGCCACACAAAAGTAGACTACTTGCTTTGACACCATTTTTAGATAATGATAACCTTATCCGCGTGGGCGGAAGACTTGACAATTCCCCTTACGACTTTAACATGAAACATCCTATAGTTATATGCAGCAAACATAAATTGACAAGACTTATATTTCAAATGCAGCATATTAAATTACTCCACGCCGGTCCTCAATTATTATTGTCTCACATTCGTCATACTTACTGGCCTCTAGGAGGCAGACTCTTGTCTAAATTAATTGTAAAGAAATGTGTTACTTGTTTCAGACATAAGGCTAAAAATGTCCAGCCTATAATGGGTCAGCTGCCGTTAGCTAGGACACAACTTGAATTCCCATTTCTACATTGTTATGTTGACTATGCTGGACCAGTATTGATAGCTAATCGTAAGGGCCGCGGGAGCAAACTTTCAAAATCGTATATGTGCATCTTTGTTTGCTCTGCAGTGAAAGCTGTACATTTGGAGCTCGTCACAGATCTCACCACCGAGGCTTATATGGCCGCTTTAAATCGGTTTGTGGCACGTCGAGGTAAGCCTCGAAGTATTACATCCGACAACGGTACGAATTTCGTTGGCGCATCCAATGAAATGCAAAGGTTTTTGCGTACCTCGAATGTCGCATCTGAAGCGGTACAACAGGGCATCGAATTTATTTTCACGCCTGCCTACTCTCCTCATTTTAATTCATTAGCAGAAGCTGCCGTAAGGTCCTTTAAACATCACCTAAGACGTATATTAAAATTAACTCATTTTACCTATGAAGAGATGACAACTTGTCTCATTCAAATAGAAATAGTTCTAAATTGTCGCCCTCACCCCCTTTCATCAGATCCTAATGATTTTTCGGCTCTTACACCCTCACACTTCCTAATTGGACGGCCACTCTTATCTGTGCCACAACCACAGGTGACTGACACTGACGTCAACCTCTCGAGACTGGACAGATGGCGTAGAATTTAGCACATACGACAACATTTCTGGAGACGATTTCATAATGAATACATTTCCATACTTCAGGCAAAAACAAAATGGCTCCATTCATCAGACGAGGTGAAACTTGGAGCTCTCGTCCTGATCAAGGACAAGACAGCACCTCCGCTACTGTGGTGCCTGGGTCGGGTCGTAAAGATCTACCCTGGCGTGGACGGCGTCACAAGGGTGGCCGTGCCTTCAACTGCATCTGCCCTCTTCCTGAGCATTGAAGACATCACTTCAACCCCGGGAGTCTGTTGGCGCGCACGCGACGACAGTGGACGGCTGCGGGGTCTGCGGGCGCCGCGGGGCATCCGAGCCGGCAGCGAGCCCGATCTGCCGCGACACCTCACTCGGCCATTCCGTGCATTGGGTACCGCACGCACTTCTCTTAACACTTGTAATATGTATTCTAAAATACATAATCATACAGTCCACAACGTGATATCATTTCACCACCCTAACCGGGCCTAATCAATAATATTGTGAATTTAATCTGAGTTCGGGTCGTCATAAACATAAATAAAATTACAATATGCCTATTGGTAAAATAGAACCGTTCGATCTAAATTGTAAACAATGGCCGGCATACGTAAGACGTGTCAATCAATTTATTATTCTCAACGAAATAAAGCCGGAGTTAAAAGTACCGATGTTAATAACGGTGGTCGGTGAAGCGACGTATGCATTGATGTGTGATCTGTATGTACCGGATGCATGCAGTTAACATTACTGAATTTATGAGATTACCTTAATCTGATAAATTCAGTAATGTTAAATACAACATACATTCATCACTAATATTCGCTAAAAATGAATATGGAATGTGATCATTTCCTGGAGATGAATCTTTCGTATGAGACAGAACGGTTTTCAGTTCCGTAAATGTAAAAAGACTGTCAAGAGCTGAAGAGTTTATATTTTTATTGGTGGAAAGTGGCCGAGGTATGGGATCCATATGAGACACGTAGGGTGGTGCTAAACGATCTAGAAACTCGTTAGCTGTAGTCTCTGATAATGTAAAAAAAGGAGAATCTTGGAAAGCAGATCTGTATCTTTTTATATTACGCCATACAAGGGAAGGATGAGTATGAGGCGAAATAGAAGAACAGAAACGTTTCCATCCTTCTGACTTCTTTTTCTTTAAAAGTTTCCGGGTGGAGGCTAGTAGGGCAGATAGATTGGTGAAGTTTTCTGAAGTCATATCATTACAATATAATCTTTCTGTCTGTTTCCTGGATTTAATAGCTGTAGTACATTCATGGTCCCACCAAGGTGGAGAAGGAATTTTACTATTATTATGTTTGTTTACAGGAAAAACTTCATCAGCGACTTGTATCAAAATTTTTCTGAGGGCTTCAGAACAGTCCGATTCATTACCAGAAATAATAGGAGGGAGAGATGATAATTTATTTTGTACGCCAATTTGGAATTTATCCCAATTATTATTATTATTTAACTTATGTTTGTAAAAAGAATTTCTCTTCTCTTTTTTTTGCTAAGTACACTTCTGTAATTCCATTGGACTACTTGGTCCATTATGGAGTAGATTTTTTAATATTTCTATAAATGGGGCAACGTGGGACGGTATTATATTAGAACTTACAAGTAAGTTGATTAATGAAATAATAACTTCTGTAATATTAGATTGACTTTCATTTTTATACTAACTGTTAAGTGCACAGCCATTAGAAGGGGAGGGCATATTAAAATCTTTTATAATATTCTCATGGGCAACTTAATCATACCCAACATAGGATGGACGAGGAGATTTAGGTTTTAAGAATACGGTTTTTTTTATAAGATTGTTTAAAAGCAGTATCATTATAAGTTTTTGATTCAGATATATTTTTTAAATGTGCTGATGGCGTGGAAAGGACTTCAGCAAAAGGCTTTGTAACAGCAGGGTGCAATTTTGAGGCCTCAGCATATGAGATACAATTTTCAGCCATATACAACTTTATTTGTTTTTGTCTATTCAGTGGCACTTCGTGAGAAGGTAGCCATTATTATTGCTAAAAATTGCATATAGATGGCATGATTGCTATCAATGGAATTCTTCATAGTTTTGCAAACGTTTTAAAAAACAAAACTATGTTTTCAAAAATGTTTAAACTATTTTTAAAAAGTTATATATACATGTTAAAATGAAATAATGCGATTAGAAAAGTAATTTTCATATATTTACTCATTTTGTTATTTTCCAGTATTTAATTACACTTTAATCAGTGCTAATACGGAGTTTAATGTTTTCAAAATGCTTTTATAGATGGCATTGTTTTCATTTGTATCGACCTAATTAAATGTTTCTTTTATATTTTCCAATAATAAGCACTTAATATATTATTATTATAAATTAAACATATAAAAAAAATTAAGTATATACAGCCGAACAAGCAAGCAATATTATTTGCAATAATACCTATGTAGGAAATGTTGCCATATTAAAAATAAATACATGTATTTATCGATTTTTTTCAAATAATCGATAACAGGATTTTATTACAGCGCATTATTCGATGATGTTTTTAGTCTTTGCAAACAGTAAAATTTCATTATTTTGTATTATACTCTTATTTGTGGAGCAATGTATAATTTTTACTGGACGACGCAAAGCAAAATAAGGGGAAACAAATAAATATACTTGCATACCTGTGAAAATCATATTTGACAGGTATGCAAGTATATTTATTTGTTCGCTCATAACTTCGAAACTTAGAAGACGGAAATATTAATTGGATTAATCTCATACAAGTGTACTCTATTATGTTGACCTCTACGCGGTCTGCCTGGTAATTATTGAAGTTAATTATATTAGTGACATTGTACGTCTATTAAAAAATTAAATACCTACTTATTGTAATTTAATATATGAGAATTGAATGTGGTATAGAGTATATAAGGTCAGCTATACATTTATTAAACCTCAAAAAACAAGTGTTATATAATATCTAAATTACTGCCATTGGTAAATAAATATGTGGATCTTCGAATTTTTACAAATACTCATAAGAAACTTTACAAATACTCGCATTTTGTTTTGTAGAAGGATATTTTCAACCATACAAATTTGTACAAAGTTTAGAAACGAAAATCATACACAATACAATGATATATTACTGATTCTATTACTATTAGTTTTTTAATTTCTCCATTCGAGGGTAGGTTATTCATAATTTATATTATTAGATTTCAGCACAAATAAAAATACCGATTTAAAATCGAAGGTTGGTCCATATTTTTTTATTATATCGAAACGACAACGAGTACTGGCAACATAAAAGAAAGGTTAAAAATATAAAATATAGGAATAACAGAATAGGATAATCGACTTTACGTCAAATGCTTAAAACATATTTTCACTAGCATTGGATTTTTTCTCTATTTTCATGTTTTAAGATAAGTAGGTACTTCACTTCAACTTTTGAATTGTTCCTGTTCAGAGTTCATTGAACTTCTTATTTTTTTGTCAAACTCAATAATTTAAATGTGTCTAAGGACTACTTACTACAAATATTTAGTAAACTATCGTGTCTTTGAGGATTATCTCATACCAGGTATAACTATAAGTTGTTAAAAACTTGCATATGTATGCGTGTGTATCTTTCATATTAAAATAAAATAAACATAGGTACTTGGTAACCGCTATAATGTGGTTTTATTATTGTTATGAATGTCAGTTCAAAAAACTAACATTGATTTTATAATTTTTGATTGATTGAGAAAATACTGAAAATTATGAATTAATATAAAGTGCTAAACAGTAGTATTATTATTATATTTTATTAGAACTGAATGAATATGATGTATGAATATTATGTTTATTGTGCTAATAAGGTTAGAGTTTAGTTAATTTCATGTAAATTCATTCAAGTTCATGAAAATGTAACATATATAATATTGTTTTCAGATTTTCCCGACAACAACTTAATACTGTACAAAGTTTAAGTTAGATGAAGATAAAGAACATTTTTACTGTAAAGAACAGGAGTTCAAAAGAATAAGAAATATATATACATTTTACTGTATAAAATAATAATGTAAGTAAAAATAAGAGAAAAAAGCAGAAGAAAAATCTGTAAATTATTAATCACAATGCAATTAATAATATAATTAAACAAGTAAGAAAGCAATGGACTGGGGATGAGAAGAAATTCCAAGTTATTATATTATGTGTAACCGACTGCAAATAAGTTTATGATTTTTATTATATTGATTCATCAACAAGTCCAGCACAATAATTCCTGGTACACAAAATATTTGTGTACCAGGAATTAATTATGAAATGATTTTAATGCAATAATTGTTTTGATATTGATTTATTTGGAATATAATATAAAAATAACAACCAAGTTGAAAGAAATATTATTTTAAATTATTAAAAAATTGTTTATTCTGTGATTAATAAATTATTTAAAAGTGCTTTGTTACCTGAAATAAAAATTTTATGATCTTCAAGTGTTGTGTTCATGCAATGTTAGTTTCACCTCATTCGATTTAAAATGTCAGGAATAATTTACTACATAATGATTTTGTATTAGATGGTAATCATATATATTTTTTAATGCAATGTGTATAATAATTTCCATTTTCATCAAAAAAACTTTGTGTTGATCTATATTTCTCTCTATACATAATATTTCTCTGTCTATAGACTTTGGTCGTGGAATACTAATAAGAAACAAAATCTAGAGCCTATAGTATATCACAGCATCCCAGAACCTTGTATTTAAGTCATATAAGGACTTAGTACCTACCTAATGCTACTTTTTTAATCAATTAATTAATTTGATCTCAATTATCATAATGATGATTATGTTGAGAATGCTGCCAAAGATGAATTTTATGGTGGTCATAAATAAATACCACCGTCACCGTCGTTAACAGTCATTATTGATCTCATCATCACCACCAGAATGGTGGTCACATCATCATCACCCTTACCCTCCCTCATCTACTTAGTAGCTACTATTATTAATTGAAATGGTAAATAAGCTGACGATCCATCCAACCACGACGCTATCCGACGTATATACATACACATAAATTATTAAACAGCATTACAAACATTACGTCATCATGTTGTGCCCGCTATATCCCTCATACGTTGTCATTCTGAAGAACATAGATGTTATGTCCAAATACCCTGTAATTTCGCAGCTTAATTTCAACTGAATAACAACTTACATAAATACCAAAAAAAACAATTGTAGATATCGAAGGTTCTACAAATAGGTATAACTCAAAATAAGTACCTACATGTCATTAGCACCGATGTAGTATCCCTGAAAGAACCTATATAACAGATTCATGGTTTGCAGGTATTATTTTCGATTTTACAAATTGCTAGTTTACCATAATTAACTATATATTGAGAAATATTTATTAGAGAAATAATTATACATTGAAAATTAAATGAGGTATCCATATGTACATCAATTGATTATAGCTAAAATCTATAACTATCACATAAC